ATTTCTTTTAGGTTTTCAAATTTGTCAGAGTATAGTTTTTCTTAATACTGTGTTATGATCTTTTTTATTTCAGTTAGGTCCCCAATTTCATTTTTTATTTGGGTTATTTGTATGGTCTCCTGTTTTTCTTTTGTCAGTCTGGACAGTGGTTTGTCAATTTTGTTGATTCTTTTAAAGAACCAACTTTTGGTTTTGTGGATTCTTTCTACTGTTTTTCTAGTATCTATTTCATTTATTTCTGCTCTGATCTTTATTATTTCCTTTCTTCTGGTGGCTGTGGGCTTTTTTTGCTCTTCTCTTTCTATTTGAGTTGTGTAGTTAATGTTTTGGTTTTGTCCCTTTTTCTTTTTTGATGTGTGTATCTATTGCTATAAACTTTCCTCTGAGGACTGCCTTTGCTGTGTCCCAAAGGTTTGGTATGATGTGTTTTCATTCGCATTTGATTCTAGGAATTTTTTGTTTCCATCTCTGATTTCTTCTATTACCCAGTGGTTTGTAAGCAGGGTATTATTCAGTTTCGATGTAATCGATTTTTTTTCCTTGCTCTTTGTTGTTAATTTCTACCTTCATGGCATTGTGGTCAGAGAAGATACTTTGTATTATCTCAACATTTTGGATCTTGTTGAGGAATGCTCTGTGGCCTAAGATGTGGTCTATTCTGGAGAACGTTCCATGTGCACTGGAAAAGAATGTGTACTTTGCAGCTGTTGGATGGAGTGTTCTATATATGTCTTTGAGGTAAATTTGGCTGACTGTGCCCTTTAGGTCTTCTGTATGTTTGCTGAGTTTCTTTGTAGATGTCCTGTCCTTTACTGAGAGTGGTGTGTTGAAGTCTCCTACTATTATTGTGGAACTGTCAATTTCTCTTTTCAGTGCTGTTATAGTTTGTTTCATGTATTTTGGAGCCCTGTCATTGGGTGCGTAGATGATTATTATGGTTATGCCTTCACGATGGATCGTCCCCTTAATTGTTATACAGTGTCCTTCTTTGTCTTTTATGATGGATTTTACTTTAAAGTCTATTTTATCTGAGATTAGTATGGCCACTCCTGCTCTTTTTTGGTAGTTGTTTGCTTGATATATTGTTTTCCAACCTCTGATTCTTAATAAATTCACATCTTTGTTTCTAAGGTGTGTCTCTTGTAGACAGCATATTGATGGATCCTGTTTTTTCTTTTTTTTAATCCATTCTGTCACTCTCCGTCTCTTTATGGGTGCACTGAGGCCATTTACGTTCAGTGTAATTATTGATAGATGTGAGTTTGTTGCTGTCATTTTGTATTCTCTTTTTTTATGGTGCTGACGTTTTCTTTGTTCCGCTTAGTCTCCTGTGCTGAATTCCTTTTGTTTGTGGATTGTTTTTTCATTTCTTTTGTTTTTATTTGTTTGTTTTTACTGAGACTTTGTTTTTCTTCTTTAGTTTTATGAGTAGGTTTGTTAACTTTCTTTGTGGTTACCTTGAAATTTACCCGTATCTTCCTAGATTTGAACCAGTCTATTGTTACTTGGTATCGCCTTGCCTTCCTCTCCATTAGAAGGTTCTATACCTACACCATTTATTCCCTCTTTTATTGTTCTGATGTTGTTGCTATTTACAGATTAACTGTTCTGATTCTCTGTTGTATTTCTTTTGGTAGTGGATAGTCCTTGAGAGTTCATTTCCTAGACTGGTATCTGGCTGATATGATCCTGTGTCCTAGATTCAGCCTGTGACCTGAAGTTTGTTCTCAGATCGAAGGACTCCCTTTAATAATTCTTGCAAGTTTAGTTCGGTTTTTACATAGTCCCTTAACTTCTGTTTATCTGGAAATGACCTAATTTCACCATCATATTTGAACGAGAGGTTTGCAGGATATATTATTCTTGGCTGGCAATTGTTTTCTTTCAAGATTTATATATGTCATCCCATTGCCTTCTTGCCTGCATGGTTTCTGACGAATAACCTGAGCTTAGTCTTACTGTTTCTCCTCTGTATGTGACTTCTTGTTTTTCATGAGCTGCTCTCAGGATTCTTTGTCTTTGGTTTTGGCAAGTGTGATCATGCTTGGTGATTTTCTTTTGGGGTCTATTCTATATGGGGTTCGTTGAGCTTCTTGGATGGCCAGCTTTTCATCTTTCATGATATTGGGGAAGTCTTCTGTCAGCAGTTCCTCAATGATCTTCTCTGTGTTTTCTGTTTTCTCCCCGTTCTGGAACTCTGATCATTCGTAAATTTTTGCTTTCGGTTGTATTCCACATAATTTTCATGGTCTCTTCATTTTTCTTCATTCTTTTTTTTGAGTCTTCCTCAAACAGAGATGCATCCAAGTGTTTTTCTTCAATTTTGCGATCCTGTCTTCCAGCGTTTCAAATCTGCTCTTCAGTCCTTCTATGACACTGCCCATTTCTGAAATCTTGTTGTTTATCTTCTGGATTTGTAATTGTTGTTTTTGTATGATTTCTAGTCATGAATTTATTTTGGCATTTTGTTCCTGCATTATTTTCTTTCATTTTTTTGTCTGTATTTTCCATGAATTTGTCTGTCTTTTCTATGAATTTGTCTATTTTTTCCTCATTTTTGTCTGCTTTTCGCTTCATCTCCTGGATAATTCTGAGTATTAGAGATCTGAAGTCCGTATAGGTAGCTCTAGTGCTTTTTCTTCTACTGGAAAGTCATTTGGTGTTTTATTTTGAGCACCTACTGGAACCACCCTGTCCTGTTTTTGTAAATGTTTTGATATCTTCTGCTGTCTTCAGGACATTCAGTAGTTATTTTTCTCGTTTATTGATTGTAGGTTTGTTTATTCCTGTATTTTTGTTTTATTTGGCTATGTCTCAGCAGGGATGCTGTGTGCTCTTTGTTGTTTGCTTGTCTGTTGACATGATACTTTTCACCTCCTTCTCAAACTGGCAGGGTCAGTCGCTCAGATATGGTACAGCAGGGCAGGTCTAGCTGAAGAGGAGTTGCTGGGATCAGTTGTTTGTGGCACTTACTACGGCCACCAGGGTGGGCTGGTAATCAGTGCGTGGCAGGTTCTGGTAGGGCTTGCCTGTGCTGCTTGATGGTGTGATGTTAAGCACACAGTGCAGGTAGGCAGGATGGAGGAAGTAGATTGTGATGTGTGGAGCTAAGATGGATAGAGACGAGAGAGGAACAGGAGTCAAAAACATACAAACAAAAAAGAGTGCTAGGGGAGCTTGCCATTGGAGTAGAGAGATGAGAGACTACGAAATGGAGAAAAACAAAAAGGAGAAGAAGAAGAAAAAACAGAAAGGAAAGGAAAAAAATAAATAAATAAAAATTAGACAGAAAAAAAAACAAGCAAAGCTCCCAAGGATCCCACTGGTGTGGCTATGAGGTCTGGGGAAGTTGCTCTGAGGCACTGAAGTACAGCCTGGTTAGAAAGCGTAGAGGTGTCACTCAGCACCAGCTATTCAGGGGACAGGAAGAGAAAGAAGGTATAGAGAGATGAGAAAGTGAGTAATGAAGAAAGAAAAAGGAAAAAGAGGGAAAACAAATTAAAAAAAAATAAAAAGAACAATAAACCCCCCCAAAAAAAACAGAAAAAGAGAAATGCCCTTAGGGATCCATCTGTGCACGTGCACAAACGTAGGGGGGAGGTCCGAAGCCACATGGTACTGCCCGGTTAGAATGGGCTCCCAATTCGAGAAAAGAAAAAGAAAACGAACAATTTAAAACAAACAAACAAAAAAAGCCCCGGGATCCCATGAGCTTTGCAGCATGGACCGGAAGGCAGTTTCACATTTGAGTGGAGTTTCACAGCCTTTCAGGAAGAAGCAAAGATGGTGCACGGACCCAGGTATTTGAGCAAAAGGAGGGGGAGGTGGTGAGAGGTAAGAAGAAATCAAACGAAGCGGAAAAAAACAACACCAGCAGCCAACAAACGGCACTCAGGGAGTTGGCCAGTGTGGGCGGGTGGAATCCAAGCAGCTAGTAGTTCCCAGCCAAGAGACTGTGGCCATGGGAAGCAGAGGAGGCCGAGTAGGGGTGAAGAAGGGTGGGAGGTGGGAAAGCGTATATCGCTGGTTACCGGTTGTTCTGTCTCCTGCTGGAAGCTCCGTGAAGCTGCTTTCTTGTACCCCTGTTCACTGGTCTCTGATAGGAGTCCAAGATGGCAGATCCATGCTGCATTAGCTGATAGGGGACCTCTGCATGTATCTCTCCTAGCTCTTTGTTCTTTGTCAGTTTCTTATTCCATTTGGTGCTTGGCTGAGTTATCTCTTCATTTGATGCTCAGGCTTTCAGGATTGCTGTTTTCTCTGTTTGGCTTAGTTTTTCCGATCTTTGCTGTGGAGGGACGGCGTGGTGCTTCTGCCTAGAGTGCCATGTTGCCCAGAAGTCCATGCATATGGATATTTAATCAGCATCAGTTATATGATGAGCTTGATGAGCTTTTGGCCAAGTATGTTACTTTTTCTTTTTCATCACTGACATGATAATGTGAGTATACAGAATGGAATAGAACTCTGATGGAATTTAAGAGTAGTCCACTGATTAGTGTTAAAGTAATAGATCCATAAATGCATCTATAAGTAGTAACAACACTAACATTATTAGTTGTTGCTCTCAAAGACATTATGCTTAAAAAAAAAAATTTTTAGACTAAGATAAATTACCTGATTTACAATTAATGTTAAAAGTGGGCAACAATAGATTCTTCTGGCTCTATTTATGTAGATGAAAAGTAATCAATCTTAAAGAAATTATGCAGAAGGATCTGTCCCAAAGGTGACAGAAAACCAATAATACAACCAAGAACTGGCTTTAAACCCACAGACAAAAATATCTCCGATTGAAAATGTATGTTTTGGCTAAAAGTCCTCTCTTGGGGCAAGTTATTGTAGAAAAAGAAATGTTAAAATGATACTATTAAGTATACTAAAACACACTGATTTACATTAATAATATCTTGTAATGAAAGGATGGTATGCTCATAAGCACCACTCTACATAACAGTTAAGGTACAACACCAGGTGAAGGAGAAACTGGTACTTCTTACCCTGGCATCGTATTCAAGGACAAAAGGAGGAAAGTCAATCTGTTCTGGAGATATGGTAGAAAACAGCTGGTGGAGGCTGTCCACATGGTGGATTTTGTCTTTCAGTCCTGAGACAGAAAAGGTGGTGAAAAACCATGTTGACACCTGATTAACAGAAGAGAAAAAAAGAATTTAAGCCAGTGGTCAGAATTAGATATAAAAACACACTTCTGAATAATTATACTAGACAAAAACTACATTTCAAAACTGAAATTGATGCCAGAAGAATCTTGCAATAGCCAGTGTTTTTGAAACTGCAGGTTGTAGTCCATTAGTGAGTTGTAGAATCAATTTTGTGGATTATGATCATTAAAAAAAGAAAAGAAACTAGAATAACAATAACTAGGGAATGTAGTAAGGGTAAGTTGTGCTTCATGAAGCTTTTGTTTCCATTATGTGCATACATGCTCCTATGCCTGTACCGTGTCATGATGTAATATGTGCTTCTTACTGTGGGTTCTGGTCAGGAACTTTAGAAACCACTGCATTAGTTGGTAGAATAATTGATTCACTGGCAGTCTGAAAATGGTTAATATCTCCAAATCTCAAAAATCTTTTTTCATTTTTTCAAATGAGATTGAGAAGAATTTTTTTTGCATATTTGGGACTTATATATTTTCAGCTGACACTTGGCATGCAGTCTCTTTTTCAAAGTGAATCTTGTGCCGATAGGGAGTCACCTTTGCTTATTCCACTTTGTAACATACATCTATAAAATGAGCAAGTTAGACCTAAATGATTTTTCAAAAAAATTTTATTGTTCTTTAGGTGAAGGTTTACAGAACAGTTTCTCATTAAACAGTCAGTACACATATTGTTTTATGACATTGGTTAACAACCCCACAACATGTCAACAGTCTCCCTTCTCCACCTTGGAGGACCTATTTTTTTTCCTTTGGTGAAAATATATACACAGCCAAAGATACACCATTTCAGAAATTTCTCATGTACAGTTCAGTGACATTGATCACATTCTTTCAGTTGTGCTGCTATTCTCACTATCCTTTTCCAAATTATTTCATCACCATTATCTTCAACTCACTGCCTCCTAGGCTTCCCATCAAACTTTTTGAGTTGCGGTTGTCAATTTGATCTCACATAGATAGTTCTTTTTCTTTTTGTACCTTAGATAAAGGTTTACAGAATAGTTTCTCATTGAACAGTACACATATTGCCTTACGACAATGGTTAACAACTCCACAACATGTCCACACTGTCCCTTCTCAACCCTGGGTTCCCTAGCACCAGCTTTCCTGTCCTCTTCTGCCTTCTAGTCCTTGTCCCTGGACTGCTGTGACTCATTAGTCCCATTTTGTTTTATGGGACTGTCCAACCCCCAGCTGAATGGCAGACCTCGGAAGTGACTTCACCTCTGAGCTAAAATAATGTCCGGGGGCCATACTCTTGGTTCTCCAGTCTCTGTCAGGCCAGTAAATCTGGTCTTTTTTTGGGTGTTAGAATTTTGTTCTACATCCCTCTCCAGCTCTGTCTAGGAATCTCTGCTGTGATCCCAGTCACAGCAGTCAGTGGTGGTAGCCGGGCACCATCTAGCTGTACTGGACTCAGTCTGGTGAGGGCCTTGGTAGCTGTGGTCCATTAGCCCTCTGGAATAATCTTTTCCTTGTATCCTGTTCTCTTCATTCTCCCTTGCTCCTGAAGGAGTGAGACCAGTAGAGTATCTTGGATGGCTGCTCACAGGCTTTTAAGACTCCAGACGCTACTCACCAAGGTAGAATGTAGAACACTGTCTTTATCAACTGTGTTATGCCAATTGAGATAGATGTTCCTCGAGACCATGGTCCCCATAGCCCTCTGCCCAGCAATTCAGTCCCTCAGGGAGTTTGGATGTGTCTATGGGGTTTCCATGACCTTTCCCTGTATAAGCTGTGTTAGCTTCCCCAGTATTGTGTACTGTCTCACCCTTCACCACAGATACCACTTATCTATTGTCTGTTTAGTATTCCCCCCCACCCCTCCCACCCATCCCTTGTAACCAAGAAAGATTGTTACTTTTTGTGTGTAAACATTTTCACGAGTTTTTACAATAGAGGTCTCATATAATATTTGTCCTTTTGTGATTGACTTATTTAACACAGCATAATGTCCTCCAGTTTCATCCATGTTAGGAGACCTAAATGATTTTTTAAGGTCCTTCTCAATTATACGATTCTATGAAAGAGCTCCTGAATATGCTGTACCATACAGACATGGGTGGGGGGGTGGTAAAGACAGAAAGAGAAGGCTGGGTGAGGGAAAAGGAGGCAGTGATCTTAAGCATACAATCTTTGAAAGAAAAATGTATTTCTCTGTCCCCTTTTCTCCCATTATCTCCTTTAGGTTCCCAAGTGTTACCAGGAGAAAATTACTCAAAGCAGACAGAAGTGGAAACCCAGGTAAAGTTTTCTGTTCAGGGAGACTCAAGAGCACTGAATTTTTTTTTATTTTTCATTTTATTTCTATATAAAACCAAACTCATTACTGTCAAGTTGATTTTGACCCACGGTAACCCCATGTGTTTCAGAGCAGAACTGCTCCATGGGGTTTTCTTGGCTGTAATCTTGATGGAAGCAAATCACCAGACCTTCCGTGGTGCTGCTGAGTGGGTTCGAACCACCAACCTTTAGATTAGTAGTTGAGCGGAAAGTTTGTTTGCACTACCCAGGGACCTTAGTTCTATATAGCTTAGCATTTAATTTTCAATTGTTTATAGCATGTCATAAATATACATTAATTTAGGTAAACGTGAATTACTCAAAAGATCTGGGTATCTACTTTTTTAAAAAAATGAAGGAAATTAAAAATCTGACAAAAAATTGCTGTGATATTTTACAAATGCTAGAGATTCTTTCATCCAATTATTCACAAACGAAAGCCGAGAACACAAGACCACTAAATAACATAAATAGGAAAAGACTGCTCATACATGTACGCTTAAGTAATCTGCCATAGCCAGAATTAACAATGGGTTTAAATTCTATTAGTCTGCCTTCTACTAGTAAGCTTGAAAGAAGAAAAAGAATAGTGATTTATATAAGCAGTCAATTTATTATCACTTTGGGTGCAATGGTTTGGAAAAGACCTGAGGAGTATGAAAATCAGAACAGTATGATTTGATTGTTTTATTACCCACTGATGTCATCTCATTATTTTACAATTACAAAAACTCCATTTACAGTTTTTAAATTACTATAAAATAGTGGAGATTTTATTATACACTGATCTTATTCTCTCAATAAATCTACCCTTTGTCATCAATTCAATCTTGACTCATAGAGACTGTACAAGACAGAGCAGAACTGCCCCACAGGGTTTCCAAGGCTGTAATCTTTACGAAAGCAGGCTGCCACATTTTTCTCCCTTGTAGCGGCTGGTGGGTTCAAACTGCTGATCTTTCAGTTAGCAGCTGAGCACTCAACCACTGTGTTACCAGAGCTTCTTTTATTCTCTCAATACTCCGATTTTCCCCATCTCAAAAAATTATGAGGAGATAATATAATGAATTTCACTTTGTACATCTTGTCTCCTTCAGCTTCTGCCCAAATCCAACATCTGCACTGACTCCTATCCAAAGCAATTCTAGTCCTGTGATGGCCAAGGATGTTTATCCATTGTTGGCACATGGAGGACAGATATTCATTGCCTCTCTACTGTGGGAGCTCTGGTGGTGCAGTGGTTAAGTGCTCAGCTGCTAACCCAAAGATCAGCAGTTCAAACCCAGAACCCACCATCCGCTTTGTGGGAGGAAGATGTGGCAGCCTGCTTCTGTAAAGATTTACAGCCTTGGAAACCCTATAGGACTGTTCTACCCTCTCTTACAGGGTCTCTATGAGTCAAATTTGACTCAGTGTCAATGGGTTTGGTTTCTAGTATGGAAAAGGAGGGTTTAAAGTTAGATCTTAGCAAACAGTGGCTATATATTTTCATATGCCTGGCACAAAGGGAAACTCTTGATAACTCAGAATTTGTAACAGTGGTAAAGAAAAAAAATTATTTTTTTTCATTTTAAAAACATTTTATTATGAAAATTTTCAGACATTCACTAAAGTTGAAAGAATTTTACAATGAACATCAGTATAGCCACTACCCAGACTATCATGAACATCTTCTTTATATTTACTTTATCACATACCTATTTATCTATCCATTCTCCATTCATTCACCATTCACCTCTATCCATTTATCAATTCTATATTTTTGCTGCATTTTAAAGTAAATTGCAGATGTCAGTTAACTTTCTCTAAACACTACAGCATTCTTATTTTTAATTAGAGTTCACTAGTTGTTCAGCTTCTTTGTTGTGAAATTTGCAATGAATAAATGAAATGCACAGATTTTAAATATACTTTTGCTGTTTGGGAGCCCTGGTGGTGCAGTGGTTCAAAGAGCCTGGCTGCTAACCAAAAGGACAGCAGTTTGAATCTACCAGCCGCTCCCTGGAAACCCTATGGGATAGCTCTACTCTGTCCTATAGGGTTGCTATGAGTCAAAATCGACTAGATGGTATTGTTTTTTTTTCCTTTTTTTTCCTGTTTAGGGGAAGGAGCCCTGGTGGCACAGTGGTTATGTGCTTGGCTGCTAAATGAAAGGTAGGCTGTTTGAACCCACCAGCCGCTCTGGGGGAGAAAGATATGGCAGTCTGCTTCCATAAAGATTATAGCCTTGGAAACCCTATGGGGTAGTTCTACTGTGTCCCATAGAGTCACTATGAGTTGGAACTGCCTCAACGGCAATGGGTTTTTTGCTGTTTTGACAAATGCACACATCCATGTAACCAAACTTCCTGTCAAGATATAGAACATTTTCAATATCCCAGAAAGTTCCCTTATGCCCCTCTTCCCAGTAAAGTTTCAAAGAAGCCAAGACAAAGTGCTTTAAGGAAGAAGTGACTCACTGCGTTTAAGGCTGTAGGGAAAACAGGTGAGATAAAGACAGAAAAGTGTCTGCTGGGTTTAGTAACAAAGAGATTATTGGTGATTTTGGTGTGAGAAAATTTCAGCAGCACAGTGGGATTAGAGCCAGACTGGAGTAGGTTAAAATGCATGAAAAACTGGAGATGGTAAACATAGAACAAAGATTATACTAAAAATTTGGTTGTAAAGGGGAGGAGAGATAAACAGGCTTTAGTGTGTTTAAAAGCTGGTGGGGTAGATCCAGCAAAGTGGGAATAGACAAAGAGAGAAAACGTGCTGAAGAGATTCCTGAGGAAATGAAAATACAGTGTGTAGTTAAAAGTGTAGGCTCTGGAATTAAATTGCCTAGATTCAAATCATGGCTTTGCTACTTACTAGTTGGTTATCTTGGGAAAGTTACTTAATGTCTCTAAGCATCAGTCTCCTTAGCTGTAAAAAAGGAATACTACTATACTACTATCTTGGAAGAAGTACAGCCAGAATGCTCCTTGGAAGCAAGGATGGTGAGACTTTGTCTCATGTACTTTGGACATGTTATCAGGAGGGACCAGTCCCTGGAGAAACACATCATGTTTGGTAAAGTAGAGGGTCAGTGAAAAAGAGGAAGACCATCTTCTAGGAGTGAGGAGGAGATGGTAAGACAGGGGACTGAGGAAAAGTGGACAGCCACTCTGGGCCACCAACCACTGAAACATCTAAGGGACCTCTAGGCAGCGGTGAAAGCCTGCTCCATCTGCTGAGGACCCCAAATTTCACATAGCTGCATGCTTTCTCCGGCACTGCTCAGCAAACCAGATACAGGGGTGGAGAAAGCAGAACAATGCACTGTCTCAAGATTAGGTTTGGATGAGCAGCTATGATGAAAGGGTAAGAGGCTAGAAGGGATTTTAGGTGTTGACAAGAATGGATGAAGTCACAGAACTTGGGTTTTAGGTTAAATAGGAAAGAAAATAAAGACAAAAAGATGACATTTTCAGAAAAAGTAAAAGGATCAAGGGACTAGACTTCTTGATGAAGACAAGGTGTAGGATTAAATACTGGGTGTGATGGCTTCAATCGTGTCCTCAAAAAATATCTGTCGACTTGGCTAGGCCATGATTCCCAGTATTGTGTGATTATCCACCATTTTGTCATCTGATGGGATTTTCCTACATGTTGTAAATCTTCTCTCTATGATGTTGACGAGATGGGATTAGCAGCAGTTATGCTGATGAGGCGGGACTCAATCTACAGGATTGGGTTGTATCTTGAGCCAATCTCTTTTGCGATATAAAAGAGAGAAGTGAGCAGAGAGACACGGGGACCTCATACCACCAAGTAACAAGAGCCAGGAGAACAGCACGTTCTTTGGATCTGGGGTCCCTGTGCCGAGAAGCTCCTAGGACCAGGGAAGATTGATGACAAGGACCTTTCCTCAGAGCCAACAGAGAAAGTCTTCCACTTTAGCTGGCACCCTAAATTTGGACTTCTACCCTACTAGACTGTGAGAGAATAAACTTCTGTTTGTTAAAGCCTCCACTTGTGGTATGTCTGTTATAGCAGCACTAGACAACCAAGACACTGGGGATGTAACTGTAGGAAAGACAGATACATTCTAGCCCTTACAGATCTTACAGGCTAACATATAAGGTATAATATTAAACAAGCAATCCCAATTAAAAAATTGTTATGATAAAAGAATGCAGAATCTTAAGGGAAACATCAGAAGAACAGCTACTAGTTGTAGGATTGGTCAGAGAAAGTTTTCTATAGAAAATAATTGTTGAGCTGAGATCTGAAGGACAAGCAGGAATTGACCATGAGCAGAGGAGAGAAAATGTATTCCACAAGAACAGCATGAGCTGTTGAGGCCAGATAAACAAACAGCATGAAGAGGCAAAGACTGAGAGGCTACTGGCTTAGAAGGGTTGTCCACAAAGATGTTGGAGTCCCACAGGGCCAAAGCCCTAGGACAGGATCACTTAAAAAAAAAAAAGAAAATAGCAGTGACAATGATGACAGCAACAATTAAGATGTAGAAATATATCTTAATATTCTGGCATGAGGTGCACTTAAATTCTAGATTTAGCCAAAAGAGAAAAATAACGTACCTTTGAACGAAATGTTGGATGAACAAAATATACAGCTTTCAAATTCCTTTTGTACCTGGATTCAAAAACAAACCAAAAACAAAAAAGGATCAGTGTAAGTCATAGCTAAAACTAGTCACCATTATGGACAATTTACTCTCTGCTTGAGTATATAAGTGCGTTCACATAGGAAAAAAAATTTTTTTTTACACAGTTCTATTTTACATGTTAAATTTTAGGTGAAATGTCAAAACAACTAAGAGAACATTTCATTATTTAAAGTATCTGTTTTATAGGTGATATTAAGTGTTTCTGTCAACTGTGATGGAGCCACCTATAGGTGGACAAAATGAATTCACATTAAACAAACATTTATTGTGTGCCACTTTTTTTCATGTGGGGCTAGAATCTATGGGATCAAATATATGAAATAGACAATAATAATCAAGATTATAGTAAAAATCAGAAACTAAGAGTTTCAATGTTCACAAATAATAGCAACAGCAACTCGCACTTAGAACAGTACTAAGGCTTTATACTTAATTCTTGTAACAACTCTATGAGGTAAGCACTATTGTTGCCTTTATTTTAACCCGCCCAAAGTCACCCAGTCAGTAAACGGTAGAGTCAGAAATTGAACTCAGGCAGTATGGTTCCAGAATCCATGCTCTTATCCACTACTCCATCTAGCCTCTCCAGGTAGAACATAAATATAGGATGCTGTTGTGTGCGGCAGAGTCAATTCCGACTCATAGGGATCCTACAGGACAGAGTGGAACTGTCCCATAGGGTTTCCTAGGTTGTAAATTTTTACGGAAGCAGATCACCAGGACTTTTCTCTCATGGAGCATCTATGGGTTCAAACTGCCGACCTCTTGGTTAGCAGCCGAGCACTTAACCAGGATAAACCAAGAAACCAAACTCATTGCCGCTGAGTCGAATTCCAACTCATAACGACCTGTAAGACAGAGTAAAATCATCCCATACGGTTTCTAAGGCTATAAATCTCTACAGAAGCAGACTGCCACATCTTTCCCCTGTGGAGTGGCTGGTGAGTTTGAACCACTGACCTGTTAGCAGCCCAGCACTTAACTACTGTGCTACCAGGACTCCTCTTAGCCAGGACAAAAACCTGTAGCTGTTGAGTCCATTCAGAGTAGAACTGTCTGTCCCACAGGGTTTCTAAGGAGGGCCTGATGGATTTGAACTGCTGACCTTTTGGTTAGCAGCCATAGCTCTTAACCACTATGCCACTGGAGCTCCCTTAGCCAGGGTAGGCAGTGTTTATTTAACTAATGATGGGCCTGGAATTTTTCAACAGGACGGTAACCACCATTGGTTCACATAAGGTTAACTGAAGAACGCTTCATGAAGTAGTACAAACCCCTCATTTCACAGATGAGGCCTGTTCAGAGTTAAAGAGCTGGTTAGCGGCAGAGACAGAACTACAGTGGACTGAAGCTTCCTTACACATATACAACCCATATTTAGGGAGCTAAAAAGGTGGCTATTAGGTAATGAAAGCTTTAATATTCCTAAGATGAGATTTAATGGGAAGAGTAAGATAGTTGGAAATTTATGGTAATTTACCTTCTTTGTACCCTAACTGTAAAATGGATTTTTCAATGCAATCCATGAAGACACTGTGATACTACAAATAACAAAACAGCTATTAGGAGGGCAGATTGGTATTTTTATTTAGAAAATTAATTATGAGAAGGAATGTAAAGCATTACATTTATCTTTGCTGTAGTGGAGTGTCATGTATTTTCCAGTTAAAATCTCCATTATTACTTCAAAGGAAACACGGTTCAATGAAAACAATGTGCTGGTTCCAAGTCAGCAGCCTGGATTCAAGTCCAAATTCCGTATTTACTGTTGTGTGACTTTGGGAAACACATTTAATCTATCAGAGTGTCAATATTCTGTTTTTTAAATCCAGACAATATCTTTCCTAAAAAACTCACAGGGTCACTGGATCAAATGAAATAATGTTACAAATGCATTTTGACAAATGTAACACACCATATAAACAGAAAATACCATTTTTATTTTATATGCAAATATTTGCAACGTCCCTAAACTTTTCCCAAGGTGTTTAGAAGGAGGAAGAAAGGGTACACTGAATTTGCTTCAATACAAAATAAATTTAAGGAGGGCCTATTATTAAAATGTCTAATCTATGTATAATAAACATCTTTGTTACATGAAATACGCTTTTACAGAACACATAACAATGCTTGCTATTGCTTAATATTAGAAAGGAAAGAAGCTATTCCCCCCCTTCATAATTTGCAAAAATAACTAACTTGATATCAACAACATCATAGAGTTTCTTCAGGAAATCAGAGTCTAGGTGATTGTATTCGCTGGTCAGTGTGTGAAAATATACTAATACATATTCCTTCACAGCAATGTGATCCATTACATGGATAAAATACAGGAGCGCCTAAAAGAAAAAGGAAGAGGAAAGGTAAAGATCATTTTGTCTGGTCGTCTATTTCTAACTCAGACTAATGAGTAGCAGTTCTCTTTAAAAAGTGAATCATCCCAGTGCTTACTAATTCTCATAACTGCTACAGTACAATCCCTTTTTGTCTTTTCTAAGTGTTGGAAGGGATCAATCTCTATCCTCTGAAACAAATCTTCATGTATTTGAAAGAGTTCTTGAGTTAACTATCAGGTTTCTCCTCTCTAGGATAATGATACCAATATTGTAAAAAGTAGAATTTCTAGATTTTTAATCATTCTTGAACTTTCTATCTGAATTCAATCAAAGTCTTTGCAGTCTCTACTCAGATACAATCTCCTGGCCCTCATGAAACAGAGAATTACTATAAAAGGACAATGAATGCTGTCTTACGTGGCTCACTCTGAGGGCTTATTTTCTTAGCATCTTTAACGCTGATCTGAATGAGGAAACTGAGAAGAGGTTTAGTCTGCAGAGGGTAGTAGGCTGGGCAACATTTCTAGAGCTCTGAAAGACTGAAATTTAATGTGACCCAGATCAGTTAGAGAAATGTTCCATTACAAGAGAGATGAAATCTAAGAGAAACACTAAAAACAGAGCAGAAATACAACAGAGGTAGGGCCAGTATGACCCAGTGATTTAGCTATGAACAATTACAACGAGGAAGCTAAGCGGTAACAACTGAAGGACTACTATAACAGAGGCCATCTTCCAATTCCTTCTCAGGTGAGTCCATAGCATTAACACGACTGGATTAATATGGATTAGGATCCAAATGCTACCAGAACAGGCAGAGGAGGGGATTAAGAAAATACACTGTATTTCCAGTTGTTAACCAGTTTAGACCTTATGCTATACCTCATTATTTTATATGAAATAATACAGCATGAATATCCAGAACACCATGCAAGTGCATATCAATATTAAATTCAGGGATTTATGTGTGTATTGGTATCAACCATATTATTGATGATGAGAATGAATGTCACATTGATTATTAAGAACACAAAACAAATAACCACAAATAGAAACTTAGATTCTAATCTGCATCTGTTGGGTTTTCCCTCTGGGTATATGTGTATTTTTATTCTTATTTCTGCTCTTACCAGAATGCTTCTTGGTCCTCTTTCTATATAGTCCCCACCCTTAAGATACCCTTTCTGGTTTTAAATTCTCTATCTTTAATTTTTTTTTCAATATAAAAAAGTATAGCCACATAATAGAAATATTTGGGAAACAAATTCTCAAAACTGTGAAATACATTTTGGGATATTTACTTCCTGTTTTTACTTTTGTGGAATTTTTTAAATTTTAAGGTCAGTGTATATACAATCTAATGTATCACTTCTACCCTTATTGATATTATTTCATAAACACTTTTCAACAGTAGTTTCCTGTATAACCATAATTTTTAAGAGCCACAGAACATTCCACTTGTGGACAGACTGTAATTACCTATTAAGAATTTAAGTTATAATTTTTTTACTACAAATAATCCTGTGAATATGACAGGCTGAGTGCTTTCACCCAAGCATAAGTTACCCAGGGTCTGAGGGCTAAAAGCAATTATCTGTGTTTGTATAACTGTATTTTATCTTAAAATTTTGTGAATTTTCAATTATTAAGTTCATAATATTTGAATATGGTTTAGAATTATTTATCAGTTGAAGTAATTCTTCTTTGTAGTTCAAGGGAAGTGATGTTCTAGAGAGGTCTATATATTTATCCTGTGGATTCAAGTGTCCCCTGCATGAATATTCATATTTGTGCAGTTTCAAGTTTCAGGGTCTGTATCTACTTCCATACTTTGGATTATTTGCTTACTACCAATTCCGAGAATGGATTTACTGGGTCAATACATATCGTCATTTTTATAGTTTCAATTTGTCTTTGGTGACAATGATTATTTAAAAATCCTTGCTAATTTTGAACATGGAAAGAGGTAACTCATTTTAATTCACTTTTATTTTTTTTTTAATATTTTATTGTACTTCAGGTGAAGGCTTACAGAACAAATAGTTTCTCATGAAACAATAGTACACATGTTGTTTTATGACATTGGTTAACAACCCCACAACATATTAAACCTCTAACTTCTCAACCTTTTTTTT